ACTTTCAGACATTATGTGCAAGTCATCTTTAGAAACAAAGTTTAATTAAACATGATTTGATCCTTTAACTTCTTGACTCTATTAAATTCTGATAGGCAATTAAAAGCAACTAAATCCCCTCACCCCTTACTACTTAGCAAAGAATTATATGAGCTCTTTGCCATGAAGTTAATTTGTTCAGACATTTTCTGGCATATATACGAATCTAAAAAAATAATCTGACAAAAGTGATTAAAAGACCACTTTCACACTTAAAGATACCTTCTGGTTTTAGCTATCCTGTTCATTGGAAAAATATTACAAAGTTAAGCATTTATTTCTAAAAAGTGATCAGCACTTATTTCTAAAAAGTGATCAGTGATCCGCCAGGTTTAGAAATCCTAGCAAAGTCATTTCTTCATTAGTAATAGAATTAATGTAGTACCGAGTTACCAAGACATTTATCCCAACTCTCTACTTAGCTCTTAGTCACGATTTCCTATGTTATAGCATATGAAATTTATTTTATTGATTGATCACAAATTTTCCCTCATCTCCTCTACTCCAGATTCTCCATGAAATGATGGAAGAAATTGACTATGATCATGATGGAACCGTGTCCCTGCAGGAGTGGATTCAAGGAGGAATGACAACGATTCCACTTCTTGTGCTCCTGGGCTTGGAAAATGTAAGCATTTACATAGAGGAGGGTGGCCTGGTGGTGAGTCAGTGGGGTTCTCTATTACACATTTCTATTGCAATTGATCTGACCATTTTCTACCGTTAAGCATGTAGTGTGTGCCTGGAACTTTTAATAAGTATGCCAGGGTGCAATTTGACAGTAACTCCTTACGTAGGTGCCACACACATATTGAATCAATTTAGGTATTACGTTAGGATTAAAAATATATTCTCTCTCTGTTTTCCTCTATTTAAAGTACAATCTAGTGTTTTTAAGTTACTGACCTCCTCATACTATCTAAAGCAAGAGACTCCCCGATATTACTGTGTTTTGTGGCTCTTGTGGTGCTTTATTATTTCACTGTTTCTCCTACCCATAAAGATAATCTATTTTATTGATAACCAGTACTTGGAGGAAGCAGTTAAATATCTGCAGTGGTTTCAAGAATAGTGGTGCAGAAGTCGTGTGTGGTTCCTGCCACAGCGACTTTTGCACCAACCTATGTAAACATGAGTTTTTCTTGTATCAGCATCAGCTAGGTCCCCATTCTATGCCTGTGAAAAGTTTCCCTGGAGTAGTTCCTCTAGTTCCTCTTGCAAGTAAATACTGTTGTGAAGGAACAAAATAAACCAAACATCAGAATGTAATATAATAATAACTTTGAAAGCAGATCTTGCCGGCCCAGCCTTGAAGTGGATTTTAGTTATTGTTAATTTAAAAATCTGATAAAGTCTATAGTCGATGCTAGATTTTGAGTTCAGCATTAATAGTTATATTAAAATTAGATATAATATGTATACAGTAATATGTATACTTAATTTCAAAGAACATTAGGGCTGAGAAGCACAATGACATTGTAATATTTAGAGTTTTGGGAGGTAAGAATGTAGTGTTTGCCGCTTTGCTGCCAAACCCCAAAATTTTCGTACTTGTAGTTACCAGCTGAAACAATTTTACAGATTCAAGACTGTATCATAGTTATTCAAGACACCAAGTTTTTAAAAGTCGTATCTCAAGATATCTTACTGTGTTTGTGAAACATATGAGTGTCTATCAAAATATGCTGGCACATATGCGTTTGGGAATATAAATGGGCTTTAGGAGTATACAAATGAGCTGAGGGTTTAGGAATAAGTATCAATTTGGAAATAAATAATGGGCTTCAAGAGATTACCATTTGTCTCTTTTTTACCTGGATCTTCAAATTCTTCTAAACTCAGTTGAATCTTACCTTTCATGAGGCCCATGGGATTTGAGACATGGTCAGAGGATGGAAAACAATAAAATAATAATGAGTGATACATGGAAAAAACTAATTTATGTAAACAGAAAATGAATATATATATTATTGTTAATAGGTATATATTTCTACACTTAAAATCCCGTGAAACAATATTTCCTTGTACCTGAAGTTCTTACTACACATAACTGAGTATCTTTTTATACAATATTTATCTCTATAGTATACATATATAATTTACTTAATTATATATGTATACTATAGAGATATTTATATTTAGTTAATTGTTCACGTACCTTACAACAAAAAGCAGTATGTAAATCAGACTACTGAGAGAAAACAAAAGAAAAATTGGCAAAATGTTGACATTTGAAGGTTTAATGTATAATTTATTCTGAAAAATTGTTGTCAGATGACTCTAGTGATAAAATTCCAATAATAATGGTTTTCTAGAAGGAAATGTTATGTTGGTAAAGCTAAAAGTTTTATATTCTAAGTATTTATAGAAATTTTAAGATGAGAGAGGAGGGAAGATGTAGGAATGAGCAAGCAAATCATCTGTAATCGAGGGTGGGATAGAAAAGTGCAGAAAGGGACAGTCAGTTGCCTACACACACACACACACACACACACACACACAATTTTTTTTTTTGAGACGGAGTCTCACTCTGTCTTCAGGCTGGAGGGCAGTGGCACCATCTTGGCTCACTGCAACCTCCGCCTCCCAGGTTCAAGCAATTCTCCTGCCTCAGCTTCGCGAGTAGCTGAGACTACAGCATGTGCCAACACACCCAGTTAATTTTTGTATTTTTAGGAGAGATGGGGTTTCACCATGTTGGCCAGGATGATCTCGATCTTCTGACCTCGTGATCCTTCCACCTCGGCCTCCCAAAGTGCTGGGATTACAGGCGTGAGCCACTGCACCCATCCCACTGGCCCGTATTTCAAAGATCACCAGAGATTTTTTGAAATGATGATGTTTTTCTTTGGAAACTATTGTTGATACATTATTTAGTATTTACTTTATAAATGTAAATATTTGTGAAGTTATAAAAATTAGCACAGTTAATAGAGTCCACAAATCTATATGGATTTAACTCAGAGTATTTTAAACAAATATTAATGAGCTAACTAATGAGTTTAAAAAAACTCATTAGTTTCTAGTGTAATTTCAATTGTAAGGCAGTTTGGTGCATTTAAGGTGCACTCTATTAATTATAAATATTTACCCTCTAATAGTGTTTGTAATTTTTTTTTAATGTTTTTAGTAAAACGGGAGTTTGGGAGCTAAATAATATAAATCTATTTAGGGTTTTATGATAGTAATCAGAGCTGTGTTCCAGAGTTGCGTTCCCAGAAATGGCCACTAGATGGCAGAGCCACATTGTTTAACCTTAAGAGAGCACCTTAAATCTGAGATTAGATTTTGCCCCCCGATCTCTGTAAAGAACAACTTTAAAAGGAGAAATTTCCCTTTTCTTTCGTTTCTTTAAAAAAGAAAGCCACTCACATTTTAAGCTGTCTTTTAATAAAATGTATAAGCAGTATAATCATATGTAATGATCACAAAATACAGCATCTATTTGTTAGAACCGTTTAATTCTAAGGCATGGTAATTGTTTTAAAAAGCAGGAATGGCACCAAGACAACTGAGTGATGGGAGACTTTTTTAGTAATTGAGATGTATTTCCTTTCTGTAGACAGTTAATATGTTACATTATTGCCTGTAGAGAATTTGATCCGTGGTTCTATCCCCTCACCTTTGCTTATTTAATTGAAAATCTAGATACTGCAGCTTGAAGTTGGCCATTTATCGCGAAGCTTGCTTTGTTATGTTGTCCTAGATATTATTGTCTATTGTCAATTATGAGCTCAGGGAGTAGATTCTAATTGATAGTGCATGTAAAATACCACAGTGTATTTGAAAGTGACTGTGGTATCTTAGCCAAATGACACAGAAAAGGAAGTAGTCCTGGGAGAGTAATCTCCACGTGTAACATAATTCCCAACAGTTACCATTTTGTTGTAATTTATTTTTCTCCATCAACAGTAGTTTAAAAGCTAGTCAATTTTAAAGAATATCTGTTTTGGTACCAAAATCATACATGGAGTTGATCAGGACCAGATTCTCTACCAAATGCTGGAGAGTCATTTCTTAGAAGAGGCTCTAAAAACTTTACGAAACACAAGATGTATGGGTGAAAAATGGTATAGTGTCTTGGTGTCTTTTACATTTGAAGGAATATTTAGAATTTGAATGGCTTCGTGTTTCTGATTACCACAGTAAAAATTAATACCTGAGACTTATTCATTCTTCCTTCAGAATTCATCTCACTGGAGAATTGTTTTTTTTAAATCCCATGTAATTAAAATGTTTTTCTTTGCTAAATAACTTTGTCTAGTGGTAGTCTCGGTTCTAGTGATTGGAAACTGTCTGCAGAGGGAGAGATATTAAGTCATTTTAGCTGTGGGGCCATAAGGTCTCAGCCACTTCTGCTTAACTCTGCTCTTCCAGCGTAAATTCAATCACAGAAATTATGTAAATGACCCAGAAAAGCTATGTTTCAATAAAACTGCTTGTAGAAAAACAGGTTGCTGGCCAGGTTGGAGTCAGTGCAGTAGTTTGCCAATTTCTCCTATTACAAACAGAAAAAGTTTAAATTTATGTTAAATCATTCGGGAGAAAGGAATCTAATACCTTTTCTTTGGCACAATCAGACAGCCCCAGCAAGACATGAGGACTAACGGACAGATAGCACAAGAGCAGTGAAAGTCATCAAACTGATCACATAACAGATTCTGGCTCTGTTATTAACTAACGAGGTCATTTTGTGCCAGGTGGTTGCTCTCTCTGGAAAGTTGAAGAGTTGGTCAGGAAGATAAGTTGGTCTCTCCTAATACTCTTTCTGTTCAAACATTCCTTTTTCTGCATGAACAAGGTAATTAATAATTCTTGAATTTCTGAAATCTGTAATTTTGGCTCATCATTGAATTTTTCAAGAAAAATTTCTGAATTTATATTATAGGGAGAAGAGAAATGCACATTTAAGCAGAAGGCTAGCTTGAAATAGGGATACCTTGACTTCTTGTTGTGGATTGTCGTACACATATCTTACCTGTACGTTTTCTGGATGTTTCTATTTTAGTCTCACCATATGTGTGCATAAAATCCTGGTCTTCAATTCTTATAGGTCATTTGATTGAGATGGTTTAGGACACATTTTTTTCCTGACTCTCAGTAAAGTAATATGCGATGTGTTCTCTAATAAAATTTTTGAGTGATGGAAAGTAGAAGACAGAAGACGATGTATTCTTGGTAGGTTAAATTATCTTTTGGAAACTGATATTCAGCACATCAATTTTTAAAAGTTTTTAATTTGCTTAAGGGTTTTCCTTCTGCTGTCTGTACCTTGCTCAATCTAGAAAACAGTTACAAAACCAGATGAATGCAAAAATTCTTGAGATTCCAGATTTTGTCATTTAAAAAAAATGACTACCTGGTGTGACCTCCTGTTGATTTTGCATTTGAGCCTCAGAAATGGCAGGTGACCTTACAGTGTGTGGTCTGGAGATGAACAGTTGATGGCAAACTCCCCTCAGAATTGTAAAACTTTTCTCTGCATTCTCCTTGTCCAGGCTTAATACAGCTCATCTTTTTGTCTAAAAGGCAAATTTCTTTCACATTGTCGTAATTTTTTGAGAACTTGAAAAAAAGTAAGGTAATTTAATTTATATATATATATAAGTTAAGTCAGTTGAAACATGGCTAGGTGTGGGGAGAGAAAAGCTTTTGCATTAGGACATCAGTGAAATTTCTCCTTGAGGTCTCCTGAAAAAAAATTATTTATAGTAGCCCGAGTTCACTTGAACATTTTATATGATCTTGGAAGTATTTATGGAAAAACTAACACTTTAGAAATCACTAGGGTAATGAAATAGGTTTTTAAAAGTTCTGAAGAACATTATTTTCTTTGAAACATTGCTTTGTCTTCTAGGGAACTAAGAGTTGGGGAAAAACGTAAAGTTTCTTCTCAGCATGGAGTAGCCTAGGATTCATCAAGCATTTCTCTGTCATAAGCACAGACCTGAACTGCTTCATTATAATAGACAGTGTTAAGTCTCGTGATGAAAAAAGAGCAAATTTTAATGAGATAAAGTGAAATTTTATGTCTCTTTCTCAATTTTTTTGGTTGAAACATTGGGAGGTTACACAACTCAACCCAATGAGAGTAATAATATTTGCTGTTTATGTAACACCAGTCTTCCGAGAAACCAAAATTAACTTCACAGGTATTGTATAATGAAACCTCACACCACAGCCTGCAAAAGGGAAGTGGGTACTTTCATTTCATTAGAGAGGAAAATAAGAAGAAAGGTGAAATGGCTTATCCACATTTTCACAGTAGGCCAAGAATCAAGCCTTTCTGAATGCCTTGCTTATTTCTGTTTTATAAAAAATAAATTCCCTTTTTGGCAATAAATATATATTTGCAATAGAAGTACTAATAGGAATATGCTCTACCGGCTGATAGAATATAAGGGACAGATTCTTTCCCTCCTCCCTTAAGTTTACAATCTAAGTAAGATAAACAAGACAAGACATGAAAATAGAGAGTTGGAGTATAATTTGCACTGCTGAGAAGTAATTGGCTCCTGGTTTCAATTTCTTCTCTTAAAGAAGTCACATACATATTTCATCCCTTGCATATTTTGGCAACGTATCCAGCTAAGAGCTATAAAGCTATTTAATTTGTTTTTTGGTAAAGCGTTTTATGCCTGGGTAATGGATTTGTACATCAGTTGCAGCCTGTAACATGGCTCAGTGTTCTGATTGACAGAACACCCACGTTCAGCCTTGTTTATTTTTTGATAAGGAAAATGCCAGCTAACTTAGTCCATATGTGTTCTTCAAAGAATGAAGCTTATTCGCATGTAATGGGCAACCATTTAAAAATAAAATGACAAGAATTACAAGAACAGTCATACATATGAAAATTAGATTTTTGTCCTTTTAACTTAAAATGTTTTTAAGCACTTAACTGCTACTTTTAATTTTTAAAATATTAATTTAGTTTTTAAAAATTAACCCCATATTTAACCTTTTGACATAAGGATGTTTAAATGTTGTCTGTGTTAATAGAAATTTTAAAATCTAGACAGTTTTGAAAATATAGCAAAGTTAAATATATAAAGTATTCTATTCACGTGGTAAAGCTACTAGAAATCTATGACTCACCCAAACCAGAAAATAATATTCAGAAATTAATACAAGGCCTATTTCTTGTGTTTTGAAAGAAAATGGAAACATTTATGTTTTCTGAAGTTTTCTGTATGACACCTGCATAGCTGTGTTTGTTGAGTTTGTTAGTCCCTTGTCAGAAAAGCAAATCTGAGCATTGTCAAGAATTGTAAAGGGTCCAAAATGTACCCTATTAGACGTTAATGTGTTAGTTTGCAGTAGTTTTTTGGATGCTCCCAGAGGACATGAGACTCCGGAGTCAGAGACAATGGACTTTGTTATTCACAGCAAAGCAAGTAACAGGAGCTTCACATATGAGTTCACCTTGCCTCCAAAGTCTCATGGGAACGACAGCGTGGAACCCAAGTAATGTTTGAGCATAGCATCAGGTTTTCAAAACCTTGGCTTAGGAAAACTGAAGGAGTCATAATATGTAGTAAACAAACCCGTTTATCCTTTGCCTACAAGGGAGTGATTATTTTTATTATACTGCAACTATAGTAAGTAAACCGCCACCCTCCTCTGGAGGGAGACACGTCTCTGTTGTCCAAGGCTAGGTTATTTATTACTCAAACATCTTTGAAAAGATAGTCTTAAAAGGAGGAATGAGAAAGGACAGTGCTTCTGCTTGCAAAACATGAAGAAATTCAAGAGACCCACTGAGAAGTATCACCCAGGAAGCATTTCATTAATGTTTTATGTTATGATGCAAATTTGACATTTCTGGTTCCAATGTAAGAATTAGTTACTATAGATTTTTTCTAGTATTACAAATCTGGTGGTTTATCCCTTTCCTGGGAATAGGAAAAGTAGTTAGGAGCATTATTATTAATATTTTATTATCAAGAGAAACAAGATGTTCTGAATATATTTATATTGTCTCACTACTACGGGACTCATGTTAGTGCCCAAGCACTTAGTAGATGCTCAAAAAATTATTAGGTGAATGTATTCTAAGAAATATGACAATTTGGCTAACTTGAAAAATTACGATAAATAATGTTTTCAATGGCATACCAATAAATGTTAATCTGTTTGATATTATTTGGTGATTAGAGTACAAAAGTAAATGCTAATTGAGGAAAAAGTAAAAGCAAAAATAATGATACAGAATAATTTAATTTAATATCTTGACCTTCTTGTAAGGAGTTTAAGAGATTCCTAAGCATCATATTATTTAAGTTTATTTTCATCTTGAACAATGCAGCTGTGATTAAACACATACAGGAGTAGCTATTATGATATAGAGAGTTTTACTCAGAAGAGAAAACAATGTGACAGTATTTTAGGAAAGTGGGAATTAATTTAAACTCAAGGTTGTATTGTGGCAAGTAACTACAGTGATTGTTATAAGTAAAAATATTAATACAGTTTTAATGTTTTTACCATCTTTCTGTGAGATTTAAACTACTTATATTTTATAAAAGAGGAGTAAACAAAATGGTAACATACATAAATCCTTCAAAAAGTTTACCTGTTAAAATACACTATTTGCAGCATACTCAATCAACATATTAATATAAATTGGAATAGGGAATTCTCAAATGAAGCCCTGGAATATCACCCATAACTTACCTTTTAGTATTCATTTTCCATCCCATCCCATTCCTCTGCCACCTTACGTGACCTGATCACCATCAAGAATTTTGTATATCACTACTAGTAATCCAGGGTTAATGACATCTTTGCAAGTTCTTATTTATGAGGCTCTTTGACTGAAGGGTATTTTCTCTTTCTCTTTATTCATTTATTTGTTTATGGAATTGTGATAAAGTATTTAAAGGAGAGGCAGTCACGTCCCTGATCCATTTGGCAGGTTGTGATGATGGCTTGGGGTATGCTGTTGAGCTGTTGATGTTAGACAAGCATTTGTGGGTTGCTATAGCATCAGTGATTTGTTAGCACTATCTCATTTCACTAGAGCACATGTGTTTTTCTAAAGGCTCTGCAGTGATCTTGGAGAAAGTCAGGGATGAAATAACAGATTGTCTTCACATGCTTCAGTCCAGCTCTGAGTTTTATTGGCACTTACATCTTTCACTGTTTATTTTATTAAGTGAAATCTGTTTCTCTTACTGTCCCATGCAGAATGTGAAGGATGATGGACAGCACGTGTGGCGACTGAAGCACTTTAACAAACCTGCCTATTGCAACCTTTGCCTGAATATGCTGATTGGCGTGGGGAAGCAGGGCCTCTGCTGTTCCTGTGAGTACATTTGCTCTGCCTGGACATCATGTCCTTGAGTGAGCAAAAATCAATTTCATGGAATAGGCTGATTTTGTAGATGGAGACCTAAAAACCGATCTGGACCATCTCTGTACATGTGATTTATATTTTTCTGTAGAGTGTTTTTGAATGTTTAGGTTACTTTAACTTATTTCTTCAGTTTTGGAAAAGCCTACCCTTGGAAAAGAATGAAGGACATTTTCCAAGTCTTCAGTGATTTTCTTTCCACTGTAGTTTAATTTATTCATGATTCCCATTTCTTTAGGGATTATTTTGAAGATTTTCACTAGTTTTTCATGCTTATATCTTATTCATATTTGGCCTCCCTCCACCCCTACCCAAGTTAGTCACTTTATTCACATGGATGTCTTATAATGAGTTGATTCCTTTGGGTATTTTTTTAAAGTTACATTAATTGATTAAAAATAGATTTGCATTCAAATTAAGAAATCGCAAGAAATACAAACTGATTTTATACCCAAAGCCTATTATTTTTAATGCTAACATAAAGAAAATCTTCATATATGGTTAATATATATTGGAATGCAAAGCATTGATGATTAATGGGTTGTGGACATTTTTTAAATTTCAGTTCACTCATCTTTGCAATTTTCATTTTATTCTGTTAACTCAGTACTGCAAAGGAGAATGTTCTTCAAGTGTATATAACATTTAGTTTATAAAAGCACCTGAACATTTTTAAATCTATAGCATGTCTACCTGAGAAAATGTTACAATCCATGATAGTCCTGATAAACATGAGTAGATATTATATCCTCTTCATTTCAGTTCTCCATTAAACCATCAATTTCTCTCTCCCCAACCTTTTCTTTTTGTAAAGAATTACTGAAATTATCAAGTTCATTAAACACATCCCATAGTTGTGCATTTAATTAAATCTTATTTCTTATGTGGCTTCCATACTATCTACGGTTTATAGGTTTTTTGTTTGTTTGTTTTTAGCTAGAAGTTTCTTTGGTAATATGTTTAAGAATTTCCTTTCTCTCAGATGTATTATTTGACATTTAATACCATGTTTTAGTGCAACATATGGGTATGGTATCTGAACTATTTAAGGATTTTAATAAAGTTACATGAAATTTTCCATGTGTAACATTATGGTTTCTGACAGCTACGTTTGATAGGTTAATTTCATGTTAGTGACACTACAACATTCTCCATATACAAAAGAAGTACTTTGTTTTTAGTGTCCTATTATTTTTAAGAAAAGGAATTTTTGTGGTAGAGTCCATTAGTAAGAACACATAAAAGAAAATGATATGTCTCAAGTAAGATGAATGATATATAAAGAGTGAGAATTTCACTGATAAGTTTTTACTGGTTAGTGTGGTGAATGCAATACTCAACATTATTTTTAATATGGAGGAAAAGAGAAAGCATGTTTTTTCCCTCAGTGTTGCCAAAGAAAATCACAGATGTGAATATTTGGAAGAGTTTTACTGCATAAATATTAGGTGGATTTAGTGTGTTTCATTCTAACTTCAGGAAGTGGTTAGTTTTTTGTTTTTGTTTTATTGAGGAGGCTACATGGTTATTTTTAGTATTGTATTATGCATTTAGAACTCAATTTGCATTTTATTAAAAGAACACATGTATTTAACCCTAAATCATATTCAGATGCAAACCATAAAGAATTTGAAGATACCAAAAATGTATGTCTTGGTTTTCTGACACATATTGTTTACATACATAGATAAATATATTTGCTTATATGCATGTATATATGTATTTGCATAGTAACATCAATTTTTGCATATGCCGCCCAGCAAAGGCTGTTGCTTTTGGACAAACAATGCCATGATGGCAAGTGAAGAATGAACTTTTACCGAAGCCCTGGCATGTATGATGAAATCTATTCTCTGGAAATAGACTAATCAGCCATTTAAGGTTTAGATAAGAGGCAAAATAGCATAAACTCATGGGCTTTTATTCCCATGCCCACCAGCTGCTCTCATGCCTATACTTTGTAAAATATAGATCTCTTCCTTCTAGCAAATGACACCAAGCCATTTGGCAGTCATCAATTTGTCTTTAATATTTTTGTCATCTGGGAATTATTGTGAAAAATTTGAGTGAGGACTGATTTAATTAAGCATTTCCTGCTATGCCATGATAGAGGAGCCTTGGTTTTTCACATGCATAATATTTCCTGTACTAATTGGCCTTTTATATTCCATGGTAAAAACAGTCGACTGGGACTTCTCCTTGATGTGGCTGATTGGATTGATTAGGGAGCAGTGGATATGAAATGAGGCTCTGTTAATGTCATTCTTTCTCTATGAAATTACAACCAGGACCAGGATTAGCTCTGAATTTGTGTACCTGTTTCCTTTCAGTCTGCAAGTACACAGTCCATGAACGCTGTGTGGCTAGAGCACCTCCCTCTTGCATCAAGACCTATGTGAAGTCCAAAAAGAACACTGATGTAAGTTTGTATCCATGCTTGCTTTATGAAGTTGGCGATTGTATGATGTGTCCTCTTACCACAATGATGTCATTCTGTTCTAGGTCATGCACCATTACTGGGTTGAAGGTAACTGCCCAACCAAGTGTGATAAGTGCCACAAAACTGTTAAATGTTACCAGGGCCTGACAGGACTGCATTGTGTTTGGTGTCAGATCACAGTGAGTAGCAATTGGAAAACAAATCCCAGCACTTACCCACATTGAAGATCGTGTATCTCACGCTCTCTGAAAGTCCTACCCTAAAAGGGCTTCCTGAACTTCTGTATAAGCAGAAAACCATGGAAACTTCTTGTTTCAGCTTATTTGCAAACAGATAAGCTCAGGGTCAGATTTGTCTCCATAGAATCCAGAATTTTAGAGCTGGTGACAATCTAAGACATGATACCATGCTGTGGCTTTCAAACTGTGTTCCATGGAGAGCTAGAGGTTCCCAGGAAGGTAATCAGAGGCCATGGCAAGGAGTAAGCAGATGAGAGTGGGGTACTGACTGGGTAGAACTTGATTCTCCCTGTATTCCACAATGCTTTTTGATAAGCGTTTTCTGGTTTGCTTCTTGTACATTTATTTTAGTCTCAAAATCTATGGGCTTAAAAGGATTAGACAAATAAACAATGAGCTTCAATGATATAATTATATAGTGAAGACTGAAAGACCAAAGAAAAAATTAAGCAAATTGTCCTTAACCACATGACTAGATAGAAGTGCAAGGAGGCTATATTTTAGGTCTTGATGCTTCTAAAAATTCATTTTACCCTTCTTCCCAACATAGTGTTGCCTTGCTGTTTCAGTTAAATCATAAATTAGGGTATAAGAGATACTGATGTAAATGCTAGTCCTTGATGTTGCTCACACTTAAGAAAGAAGAAATAACTTGGTCTTCTGGGAAACTCTAGAATTCTACCTGGTTTTAATGATTGTCAAATAGTTTGAAAAAATTTTTGGAATGAATGTAGATGTTAGATGGTACTTCTACAGTTATATGTGTAGTTTTGGGAGGTTAATTAGAATCACACATTTTCAAGAATAGTTATTTTTGATAATGTAGTACAAAAATATATATGGGGCTGGAGTTTTGTTTCCAGCATACAGTAAGTATTCATGTTACAGAACTAAAATGTTTGCTTCTGTTAGACTAAAACAGGAGGAGGCCCTGAATCAGTTAAGCAAATAAATGTCTCCACCATGTCCCCTGGTGCACTGCCCTCAATCCAGGGATTAAACAGTTCTCTTAAGTGTTCTCTCTCTCTTTCTCTCTCTCTCTCACAAACACACATACATACACACACACACACACACACACACACACGTGCATGTGCGCAAACACCCACACACATGCATATACAGAATAATGAGAAAAACAACTGACTTACATTTCAAAAATATAATTAAGTACTTTCTTTTAAATGAACACATTTTCTGCAATCATTTTCAACTATTAGTTACATTATATTTACATCTGAAATTTTCCCATTTATGAAAGTTTTTTAAAAGTGTTTGGTTTTTATAATAAAATGTCTAACTATGATTCAAATTAAACACATGAATTATTCAAACATAATGAATTCTCAGTTTTAAGAAGATCACAATAGCTTCATTTTTTAAAACATTCATGCACCTTTTTAAAATTAGGTTTGTTTTTTGCTAAGCATTTACAAAAATATGTAGTTTTTGTTTCTGACCTTGTAGGGGGCTTCCACTTATCTTCTTTGTATGGCAAATATTTTGCTGGTTAAATCTTAACTTTAACATGAACTGAGATGAGAGAATATTAGAAATTACTTCTTCTTTGTATCTCCAATTGTATTCCTACTCTTCATAAATTTCAAAAATACTGTCTTGGGTTTATTATTCATAGTTTCTTTTTTATTTCTTAAATAATCAATATTTTTAAGTGTGTACTCAGTTTGAACACTCCAAAAACATACATTACTACCTTTTTTAAGGGAAAATTTCAAAGCTGTTAGAGTTTTCTGTATTTGATTCCTCTCATTCTTTCTCTATTTAATCTCTGTGAAGTCTGTCTTCTACACTTTCCAGTCACGGGACTCACTGTCCTCAGAGGTACCATGGCCATTGGTCTCTTATTTGTACTCAAAGCATCTTAAAATCCTTCCTTTCCTTGATTTCTGTTCCATCTTGTTTTTCTCACTTTCTTTCTTTTTGTTTTCATGGTTCTTCTTCTCTGGTACTCCAGAAACTACACCAACCCTACTACTCACAAGTTATGCATTTGCTTTGGTCTTGTTCCTGACCCTAGCCTTACAAGAAAAGAAAGAGGCACCTTCTTTTACAGGAAAAGGGATATCACTTTTAAATAAACTGTACTTCTTAAAATCTAAAAATTGTATGTCCCAAAGCAGATAAGACAATATACCCTTAACATTTTATTTTTTCATGTCATTGGATAGCTGAATGTGAGTTTGTTTGTCCTCATGGCATAGCACTACGTAAACAGTGAATGTCTTAAATCCCTATTTGAAATGATTAGTAAATCAACCAATTAATCAGTACCAAAGTTCTACTCAGGAAACAGGCTAACCAGGGATCTCTGATGGGGATAAGGCAAAGCAAGCAAGAAAGAAAAAGATACATGCTGCCTCTCTCAAATTCTGAGACTTCTAGCCAACCTCGGCCTTATTTTATATAAAATGAGCTCCAGGGGTCTTATGGGTATTAAGTGCATAAAACAAGACTTGTACAATTTTTTTAAAGTTATCATATATCCAAGAGACTATATCTCAAAAGTCACTTCAGCCTCTATCCAATTCTGGATTTTTAATTTTAATCAATTTTAGGGACACATTTGCTTAATTATTGATTTTGTGCCTTGGATAAACAGGATATATTTACTTTAGAACGTTTATGTCCTTAGTAGTAGTTGCAGTTTCCTTTTGAGCCATTGCATGAACGTTTCAGCATAAAATGGATCTGTTCTTGACTGATGACTATTCACTACTACTGCTTGCCTTTAAACAACTGAATTTACTTTCTTTTGCATTTACATTTTACAGAAGGTGCTATGAACATAACAAAGAGCTAGTAGCAGTTATAAAAGTATGGGGTTTTGAGACTACCAATTCTAGGCTTCAGAAAGGCCTATCTGAATGGGCTCCATGAGTAATATATTGTAGAGAGAAACAGAAAGGTTGGCTTCATTTCAGGGTTTTGCCCAAAAGCTATTACTTCCTTTTATATATGACTTTTGGAAATGACTTGAGTGTTGTAAGTCAGACCAACCAGATTCTTAAGTTCGTCTCCTCACTTCCTAGTGGTGCCATCTTGGACCATTTTATGTAACCAGTTTGGGCAAATTTCCTGATGTATCAAATCAAGTTAATGATACCTAGTTTATTAGATTGTTATGAAGATTAAAGGGGCAAATAAATCTCTGCAGATGTGTTTAGGGCAAGACCTCATACATATTGAGTGCTCAGTAAGTAACAATTATATTTATGGGTGTATGAAATACTATTTGGGTGCACAGAACCAACCCCTGGTTTCCAGAGGGCACTCCATGAAGAAGGCTTATGTCATTTGTCTCTCACCTATAGAAGGATGGATAGTTGCCCAGTCTATGTCAGAATAGCACCTGCACACACTAAAAACATCCAGACTCCTGTGGTCCTGAATCTCACTAAATCCTAAGCCAAACGAATGGATTTTCATTCCTGAAGACTATTACAGCTCTCTCATTCTATCAGACATGGCATTGTCATGCTTCCACTCACTGGAAAAAAAGTTATAAGTCAATTTTTTTTTTACTCTTGTCTTTTACCTTTATCTCATGTACACAACCTGTCACTGAGTCTTGACATTTCCTACTTAAAATATCTCTCTCAGATTTGAGGTTTTGTCTCTACATTCACAGCCCTAGTGCAAGCTCTTAGCACCTCTTGACTAGATTAGAGTCAAAATCTCTTGGCTCATCTCCCTAACAGAAGGTACTTTTCCTATAATGCAGGCTGCATACCACCTCCAGAAAGATCTTCTGAAAATACTAATTTGTTATCATATGCCTTCTTTAGCAATCTATAATAGTTCTGTGATAATAAATGCAGCCCTCAACACCCCTTGCCTCAACTTGGTTTTAGTTCTTTAGAAATCAGAACCAAACCTAAACATAACCATATATAATATTCCTCTTCTATACACACCCTCTGCCTTAGCTGAGTATTTCTGTTGACAGTCCCTTGGGGAGGACATGTTTTCCTCATACCTATTATTTTGTTAATCCCCTTCCCTTGAGTGCACCTGTCTTAAATTCTAACCATACCTTAGGAAACAAGTTAGGTTACCTGCCTTCCTTGAAATTTTTCTTGACACTAATATATCTTGATTCTAAATAGTTTCTGTACGTTTATTCCACATCCAAATAAAAACTGAAATGCTCTCCAGTGGTTTCACACCGCGGCTAACATTGTTTGTACTGTTAACTCTAGTCCACTCCTGTTGATTTTCCACGTCACACATTGTTTCCTGATCACCTGAAGTTCTTGACAGAGTACTGAGTGTAGAGAAGTCTTCATTAAGATCTCTTTACTCACCCCTACACTATTCTTCTTACAGTAGGATATTAAATTTCAAACACATTTTTATTTAAGGTTTGTTTTGTAATATTGTCCTGCAATGCTCAAATCTCCATCAGGTATGAAAGTAAGCTTAAACAAACACTTAAAGATAAAAATCCATTTTCACACCATTTTTCAGTTCACGCTTGTGGTTTCTTGATTTACTAGTTGGCCATCTTGTAGATACAAAGTTAGGTTCTTAGAATGAAATTTTATATTCTTTCGTAAATCTAGTCACTTCAAAATTAAAATCACGCAAAGCTTAGGGAAGGTCCGTGGAAGACTGCCTTCTGATATTTAGGCAACCAGTCTCTTTGTTTTCTATTTCATTCCTCTGGGACAGGCAAAATATTCACCTTGGCTCTCTCTTTTGTCTTGATCACTAACACCCTCAATATCCCACTGCTTATACCTTCTCATTTCTTCTCAAAGTGTGTCTTCTTGATACTTCATGTAGAACATGTTGCAAATCACTTCTGGTCAAGGTAAGCTATCACTGTTCAGGCAGGACTCACCAGGATAGGAGGTTGATGCATTTTATTTAGTGGTGAAAAAAGAACACCTATTTCATTGAAATGAATTACTAATTTTGTATAATATAGAGATAATATTATTTACTAAGATACTGAATTCCTAACAGTCATGTTTAAAGGTTTCCAGTGCTGTGAAAACATTTCTGCTTCAGCAAATGCCAGTCTTAGGAAGTACACCAAACTGGAAAATATTAGGGGCCAGCGGATTGGATAAACAGATAAATATGTTCCTCCAAGGCAGGCCTTTGGGTTTTTCTTTAGAGGAATAGTTGATTTCTCCTCTTATTTTCCTCTAAATTTCCATGAACATTTATTTTCTATTTTTCCTCCTCTTGACTTCTGAGATTCCATTTTCTTCTCTGACCAGCACACTCACTCTTTTCTCAACTCCACCAAGAAGTATATGCAGGCACACGTGTACACACACATTCACACACTTCCTTTTTCTTTCTATCTTGAGACAGCTTTTTCTAATAAACATAGATCTGGCTGTAAATTAGGTGCTACTGGAAGTTGTCATAAACTCTGAAATTATTTCCAACTGTTTAATTCACTTCCAAGAAAAGCTGGTTCCTATTATATGACTTTCCTACATATGGCACTGAATCTCTTAACATGAATGGGAATTTCTGGATGTATATTTTAAAATGAGCTAAGGATTTTTGCCTTAGATTGAAAAAAATACAAAGATAATTGAACAAAAATGTTTTAAAAATTTTTAAATAGTAAACAATTCCTTTTCTCTGGTGCGCTATTGGTTGTTTTACTCAAGAGGCAGCATCTTCAGTGCTCTAGTTTATTTCTGTTCTTGATGAGGATCTCCGTGTTTAGGGTTTTGCTGATTTGGGATATAGGTCATCTTGAAAACAATTATCAGCCTTCAGCATCTTATTAACATCCGAGAAAAAGCTGTGCCTTTTTCTTATATTCCTTTCCATGAAATATGGTGACAAGATTAAGCAAATTTTTATTGTTGATGATATTCACTTAATTTTTAACTTTTGTGGCACATAGTAGGTATATATATTTAGGAGGCACATGATATGTTTCGATACAGGTGTGCAATGTAAAATAAGCACATCATGGAGAACAGGGTGTCTTTTCAAGCATTTATCCTTTGAGTTACAAACAATCCAATTACCCTCTTTAAGTTGATTAACAATGTGCAATTAAATTATTACTGACTATGGTCACCCAGTTTTGCTGTCAACTAGTAGTTCTTATTCATTCTTTCAAACTGTAGAAAGCTTTTTATTGAAGGAAAATGTACATATAGAAAAGCACTTATATCCAAAGGGCAGAACTCAGTGAGTTTTGCACAAATGAATATTCTGTAAGCACCTGATCAGGAAACGAACTATTACTAGTATCTTAAAGAAAAAAAAATTGTAGCATTTGAATTCTATTAGGTAACTTTATTTTGTTGATTTTTGCTTTTGAAAATAGACTTTATTATTTAGAGCAGTTTTAAGTTCACAGTGTTCACTTTTACCCTTTATAGGTGGTCCTGAAAATGATATGTATTTTCACATTGGATTTCACAATATATATTTTTTCCTCAAATATACTTCCAAGAAATATGATGCATAAACTAAACTTGTCATACAAATTTGATTCACAACTTGTAAAATGATCTGTACTCCTAACATAATGCCCTCAGTTTTAAAACTCTTGGCTGTTGATGGTTATGCAAATGTATTTATTAGCTCCAGATTCTAGTCTTAATACAAGTATAAGGTATTCCTGCATATTAAACATAGACTTCTTGGTTAGGAGAATTTTCTTGCATTGTGTGGTTCTGTGTATCAGATTAATACGGTTATTCAACTTCTTATAGATCCTACTATGTGCTTATATTTCTGGGAGAGTGCCTTATGACTGCCTAGACAGAACTCAGGGATATGGACCACAGTGGTCATCAAACTGGGAAATTCCATTCTAGTTTTATTTGACTATGCAAAGGCCAGAATTTCATGGGATCAATTGTCGATTCCTATACTCTGAAACTCCCAAACCCCAGTACACAGAGTTGTCCCTTCACATACACTATGGTAAGCTCATCTACTTCGTGATTCTATCTGAGTCTTTGATTCTTTCCTTCTGTCTGGGAAACTATCCTAAATGCCCCAAAGTTGTCATTAAATTAATTTTATTTTTGCCATCCTTTCTTACATCAGTAACCGTCAAATAACTATACAGAGAGCTTAGTCGTCACTTGCCGTATCCGTTGCAAATTGTTGGAAACTTGTGGATGGAAGCATGGAGGAGGCTGAGGCCTCTGATTGTGCATCTGTAGTCAGTGTGGCATGAGTCTCAGTATGTCCTGCCCCTGTGGCCCTCAGAGTCACGTGTTTAGCTTTACACTGTAATCAAGAGTAATATTTCAGCACTTTCTTGCTGTAAACACAAATAGATTTTTATCTTGAATCTGTTTTTTTTGTGTGTGTGGTTTTTTTTTTGTAGAGGATTCTTAGAGTCTGTTTTCTCAGTGTTAAGGAAGTTGCCCCAAATCAAAGAGCAAAAGCTCTTTCTCTGTGACATTCATAGTATAGCAGAGTCTTAAGATACATAGTCTTCCTTTGGTTTTAGTGTAATTTTTATAGTACTGGGTTTATTAGTTTTCTAGGGCTGCTGTAACAAATTGCCGTGAAATAGGTGTCTAAATAAGAATGTATTCACTCATTGCTCTGGAGGCTAGAATTTCAAATTTCAGCCGGTTATCCTCCTTCTGAAGGTTTTCTGAAGGAATCCTTTTCTGCTTCTTCCTAGCTTCTGGTGGTTGTCAGCAATCCTTGGAATTCTTTGTCTTGTAGTTGTGTCACTCAAATCTCTACCTGTGTTATCAGATGGCCTTCTCCTCTCCATGCCTTTGTCTTTCTGTCCAGATTTCCCTCTTGTTATAAGGACACCAGTCATTGGATTAAGGTCCAACTAAACCAAGAATGACTAAATCTTAAGTTAAATACATCTAGAAAGACCTCATATCCAGTGAAGTTCACATTGAAAAGTTAGGACTTCAACGTATCTTTTGGTGGAGAGGAGTTGATCCACCTCAACACTTGATAACCTGTTACCTTTAAATCCAAACATCCATGACCATGGTTTATTCTAAGAAATTTGATTAGGTTCAATAAATTAATAATACATTTAAACCGGTCAGTAAGTTTATTTTAGGAAACTATATATTTTGATTTTCTCTGAGTATCAGTTTATTTAATTCCATAGTGCATTCAACTGCTTCTCTATCTTCAGCACTTCCTACCTCTTGACAAAGACCAGTAGTGCCTAATATGATTAAATCATTTTTATAGAGACGTTTATATGCCACTGAGAAGCAGAGCTGCTAATTATGGATAAATGTGTAAAGATACTGTTATTTCATGTAAAGTAACCTAATGTGCATTAATTATAGTACAAGTCACCTCAATTCCAATGTAGGGAGTTAGCATGACAACAGTTTTAGATTCTAGGACCACAGAAAAACCTCTTTGATACTGTTCTGCCACTAAAAATCAATCAACACTCATTAGACTCCTATGCTTAGTTGATAATTAACTGCTTACAAAGGTATGTGTGTTGTAGAAATTAATGTAGCCAAGGCTTAAATCAGGTAGCTTTTGATTCAAAACTGAAAAACGATGTGGCTCTTTTTTGTTTTGAACATGACATGTTATCTTTTTGAAATATATATTTTTTCTAAAGTATGAACAGTTCGTATCAAATTGATGCATAGTGCAGGAGGGAGAAATCTCTAGATGCCTTCAAGCAGGTATTATTTTACCAAATCTGTAACTTTTTAAAAACTACCAACTCAATTTAAAAACATCACTATTTTAAGCACCATGTTGTAACACCTTAATGTAAACTTGTGACCAGGTTAATAAAAATATTAGTTTGGGTTCATACATATTAAAAATAAATATGACATTGTATGATTATACGCTAACTTAATGTTGAGCTGATAAATACAATATACAGATAAATTTTTATAATCATAATCATCTTCTTTTATTTATATCCTGCTCCTACTGAGATGAATCTCTGGTTACATTTACATATTGAATTACAAAGTTAAAACTAATGATGGGATCAATTATGCCCCATACTGAGCTGTGCACTTTATAATGACTTTGAGAAAACATGAGGGTCAAAAAAAAAAAAAAAAACCGTACACAGGCACAGTGGTTTTAAGATTATGCTAACAGATAAGCAAAGAAAGAAGTATGAGGGACAATAATCTGTGTTTGTCAAAGAAATCAGCCTTCTTTGGTGCAAAACCTAAAGTATATTTTTAACATAAACATTTCTGAGAATTACAAACTGTACAGAATGGGTCAGATAAGCTGATAAGTGGTTTATTTATGGTACATATATAAGGACAAATGTATTAGGAATTCCTTCTTGACTCTGTTTATTTGTTTTTATAATTTGCTTATTTTATTTTTAATGTGTTTGCTGCATCTTAATTGAACTACAATCTCCTCCATGTTAGGTGTTGTCATGTGGAATTTAATATTATCCCCCTTTCTCTTTTTTCAGCTCCATAATAAATGTGCTTCTCATCTAAAACCTGAATGTGACTGTGGACCTTTGAAGGACCATATTTTACCACCCACAACAATCTGTCCAGTGGTACTGGTGAGTTTTTCCTTATCATTCTGCTGTAACTCATGGTTGCTGTGAATGATCAGTATCATATCCCACTAAATGCTCCTAGAGGTAATTTTTCATTAATCAAGGTAGAACTATATAGCTCTAAAATTAATCGTTACTCTGGAACAGAACACCTTTGCCCACTATATTTTCTTTTTCTTTCATGTCACTATACATGTTTTAGAATGGTATCTTGAACAGAAGCTGACTCAGATTTTATCACTTAGTCATGCTGTACTTACCAGGAATTGTAAAGGCGGAGCACTTCTACATTATATATATTTTATAGATCTAGCTTCCCAGAATAATGAAGTTATTCATACAGGCAATTTTGCTGGGATGCACCTTATATATCTGCAATATCGAGGGCTCTCATCTAGGTTAGAGACTACCTAAAATGATGACACAACCTTGAAGAAAGTTATGCACTGCTATTAGCTGTTTTTTAAAGTCTTTTATTGAACAATAAATTTACCTGCAAAATAATTACATAATTCAATAAATATAGAAGTGAAAATGCATGAGTAAAGTAACTTTGAAACGAACGAACCTTGGTGGGAAGAGAAGCAGATATTCAAATGACAAAATTCATATTCAAAATCCAAATTGCTTCGAAAGTGTAACAGTTATTTTAAAAAACAAACTATATCCATGATGCCCTTCTCATTTTGAAAAGCAACATGGAAATTAAATGGCTGGAACTTCCATTTGCTATAATAAAATTATAACAAGTAAGAAATGTTAGAAAAATACTTTTCTAAAGGTCAACCTAGAAATTAATTGTATTAGTCATTTTGTACCATTTATGATTCATTTTGTAATTATCTGTAAAATACTTGTTGTATTTAAAATGCCTTTATTTAACAAAATTATTAAAAGCTCTTCATTTTCTTCAACTACAAAAATAGAGGAAAAGAAAATACCTCAATATTGTTGAGTGTAGCAATAACTAATTCTAAATTTTCTTTCTTCATGTAAGATTTCCTAGACATCCCATGGTAAATAAGAGTAATTAAATATAATGAGAGTCATATAAAAACATTTTACATTTTAGGTAAATTTAGTGTCATTTTTATTCATATAAGTATTTTCTTGAAGACTTCCAGATTTTTGTATTATTTATATTTTTATTTAAAAATACAGCAATTGTACTGGTTTAGATGCATTTTCAATCTCAGATTTTAACTCTACGAAGAGATCTATGATTTCTTCCTACTATCCATCTGCCTATGCAAGAGCACTCAGTTCAGCAGCCTGGGGACTGCCTCCTTGGTCCGCTTATGTCAACCTCTAGTTATACAAATTCAAACCTAAGGTGTATTTTTTTTAATTATGCTATCACATCTTTCTTTGAGATCCAAAGTAAAGAGCATGTGTTACATGAATATTCTTGTCTTTGAACAATCTTGCATAAGTTTTCATTGCTATTTTTAGACCATTTTTTTTCTGAAGATTTATCTCCAATCATTAAATATTCCTACAGTTTTAAAACTGATTTATATCTCAGCATTTCCTGTTTACCATTTTTGTGGTACTATCTACCCTGAAGTGTATGATGACAATTGAGCATTCCATCCTTCTGAAATGCCTACCTTTCATTGACTTTCATAATACCTCATTCTCCTGGTCCTTTCTCTGTTTCTCTGCACACTTGCTTTCAGTATCTTTCCTGGGTTCACAATGTCGACATGCCCATGTCGGTGCGTCCCTGGGTTCTACCTTCCTATTTAATGGAGTTCCTCTCTTAGTGTTCTTCCCGATGAGATCTTGTTTATTCAGTTGATTGCATTACCAAGCTAATTTATATTCAGTTCATCATCCTAAATTCCAAACCTAGAACTGCCACCTGCAGGACACATATTATTTTAAGTTCTGTATGCCCAATATATTATTATATATTACTGTAACAATTACAGCTCTTTTGATTGAGCATATATACTATCCCAGGTACTATGCTAAAATATTAATTAATTTGTTCGGTAAATATTCACTGCATAGCTAGTATGTGCCAGACAGTATTATAGAGAAACATGAGAACATTAAAAGCAAAGACAAATCTTTGCCTTTATGGAGTTTACATTCCAGCAGAGGTAACATAGACAATAAACAATACAAATAAGTAAATTATTTAGTACCTGGTTGTACTAAAATACATAGAAACAGAGTAGAATGTTGATTTCTTAAGATATGAAGGGGGAGAAGTAGGGAGATGTTGATCAAAGAGTACAAAGTTACAACTATTTCAGATGAATGTCTACAAATCTAATGTACAGTATAATGACTATAGTTAATATTGTTTAACATGGCTGGGCATGGTGACTCATCCTGCATTTTGGAAGGCCGAGGTGGGTGGATGACTTGAGATCAGGAGTTCAAGACCAGCCTGGCCAACATGATGAAACCCCATCTAGACTAAAAATACAAAAAATTAGCCGGGCATGGTGGCAGGTCACTGTAATCCCAGCTACTCGGGAGACTGAGGCAGGAGAATCGCTTGAACCCAAGAGGCATAGGTTGCAGTGAGCTGAGATTGCTCCATTGCACTCCAGCTGGAATGACAGAGTGAGACTCCATCTCAAATATACTATATTTTGGCAGATTTTCAGTATGTTATACTATATACTATATTATGTACTGAAAATCTGCCAATACGCTAGATTTCAGGTGCACTAAACACACACACACACACACGTAACTATAAGAGGAGATGGATATGTTAATTTTCTTGACTATAATACTCATTTCACAATATATTTATACTATTAAAAACAAAATAACAACACCTTTATTTATAAATCGAATTGGCATTTATTAGTGAATTAGGACAGCCTCCACTCTACAAAGTAGAATGAGAGCTTCCACTAGACATAGAAGAACAGTGGTTTTTGTAAGATGGAAATAAGCAAACACAATAATGCAAAACAAAAGCTGACTGTTGAACATCATGTGACTTCAGGTTACTCTTTGGTAAGAGTTAAAGCAGTGGTTACATCATTATTATACCAAGTCAGGTAGACTGGAGTTTCATATTTTCTGAAGCAACTGGTGTGTTTTGGGATCAATCTGCTTTCTTAAAGTTTCAACTTGATTATGTGACACTTTAGTACAAGTGACTCCATTTCGGTTTGGTCTGGTCTTTTGAGGCTCCTGTAAGAGCTCAGTTGAAAACAGTGGCCTTTGATAGTTTTTGTTTGACAGTATCAAAACAATTATTGTACATTAATTGTATGCCTTTAATATATACAGTAAGTACTAGTTTTGTTTTCAATGTAAAGGGCAAAATTAAATTATAGAAAGAAGAAATGTTGGGACTGCGATTATAAAAGAGACAGTCAAGATATTCACTGAGGAGAGAGTTAAGCATTGAGTGATTTGAGGGTGTCACCCTGGTGGCTATCTGGGGACAGAATTTTACAGGTAGATTCTGACGCGATAGACACTTGACAGATCTCAAGGGAACTGGGGAGATTAGTGGCTAGCTTTGAGTGTATAGGAGGAAAAATAGATGTTCAAAGAGATTATAAGATTTTTGTATTGGGTGGGACAATTTAGGAAATTGTAAAATCTTTAGCCTTTACTCTGAATAAAATAGGAAGCCATTAGAGGAGTCTGACCAGAACAAGAAATGATCTGACTTTAAAAGGAACAATCTGTGCTGTGTTGAGGGGGCAACAACAGCAGAAAGATACAACATTTCTATTTTCTCAAAGAAATAGAGAGCTGGGTCATTAGCTAGAATTAGGATGGTGCAAGATGTATAAGAAGCCTGTGTCACCCAGGAAAGTGGAAACTAAATGGATGAAAGAAACAGTGTGATTTCCAAGGAGAAGAGAACAGCTACATCTTGTTAATAATCGTCCATTTAGTATATGATTCCAGTCAGCTTAGATGAATATATTTCTCAACTCACATTCATTCATATTTATCTAATTACATGCTAGCTTCATGAGTGGAATAGGCATAGCCCAGTCTTAATGTGACTGTTTCTTTTGGCTAATATCATGTACAGAGAAGGCATCCAGAGAGTTGAGAAGATTTGCAAAGGAGTAATTGTAAGGCTTAACCATGGAATTTAAGCTGGAAACGAGGGAAATAAAGACATTAAAATGAGGTACAGTAATATATTTTAGGAATAGTACACTGTAAATTACAGTGAAGTCAAAAGTTGTTGGAATCAAGCTTAATGGTGTCAGGTTGAGAGTAGGTGAGGTAGGAATTGAGATTAAGGAGGGGTATAGTATAAGTAACACAATATGTGAATTCATTTTGTTTTCACCATGACAACATGAGATAAATATTATAATTGTTCCTATTTTACATTGGAGGAAACTGCGAAACAAAGAGGTTAAGTAAATTTCCCGGTGTCACATGAGTAGTACATGGCAATTCAGAATTGGTACCTGAGTCATTATCACTCCGGAGCTTGCTCTGAGATTTTCATAGCCACCCTTTTTCCAAATCCCAGTAGAGAGCTTTTACCTGTCGTATCTCAGCTACTGGAACCTTCACACCCCGACTTTCCCAAACTAGAAACCTAAGTAGGATTTTTATTCCTCATCTGGAATATCAGATTAATCAATACTATTCTAATGTTCTTAATCCTGTCTCTTTACTTCAGCCCAGTTATGACTCTCTGGTATGCTAGCTTCACAAATTTTCCTCTTGGATTGTCCCAGTAGCATGTTTGTGAACTACCTCCTTTCTGTAGGCTCCCAACCTGCTTCATGGGTCAACTTTCAAAAAGTGCAAATATCATAAGTCTCTCTCACTCATAAAATATTTTTGGGATTCACTGTTTGAATCCTCAACTCTCTATTACAGTAAACAAGGCTTTTTCACTGGATCAACCTGCTCACTCTCTCATGTACTACCTTATCCACTAGAAACCAAGGATAATTAAACTACTTGTAATTCTTTAAGGACACCTGTTCGCTCAAGCCCTTGAGTCTTGTAGATGTTAATAAATATACACTATACTTCACTTA